TCTCTCTCTCTCTCTCTCTCTCTCTCTCTCTCTCTCTCTCTCTCAAACACACACATATATACAAACAAAACAACAGCAAAAAGACACATCCCAGACACACTCAACATAAGCCTACAAAAATTTTTCTACAAAACTATAATGATACAAACCTTTAACCTTTTGAGCCCTGGCCCCCTGAGACGAACAGAATCTAAGCACCTGAACTTTCAAAGGACAAGTTCTTAATTTACACCACCACATGCTGAGGAGTGCTTTGGGATGCAGAAAGGTAACGTAAAGAGGTATGCACTTGCTTGGATGTGTAAAGTTAAGAGATTTCCCGGCCAAGCCTACATGTCAACTCATTTACCCAGCTTAATTAAAACATAAGAACAAAAAAGAAGTGAAACATTTGACCACTCACAAGTTAACGTCAAACAGTGTGTGAGAAACACACTTAATAACCTCCACTCCTAGTGCTTCCATCCGGGCTTCCACTTTAGCATCTCTCTGCACTGCATACGGTTCTGTGTCTGCCTCATATGTCAACTTTGTGATGCTCCACTGCTGGCACAACTTTTCAATCTCAACCTCTGGCTGACCCCGGATGACAAACAATCTGAGATAAAAACAGAGAATGAACAACTTTTTAAACATTAGTCCTCCTTACAGGCAAAATGTTTTATTTTCAAACCACCTGAGATCTAATATTGACAATACACTCTATGAAACATCACAGCAACAGCAGCAAACCTGCATTAATCACTACATGGCACTGGACAGAAGGGCAAGCCCTCAGCTGTTGCTTGATTGGCCTGTGAGAGGAAGACTGAGGGGGGGGGAGGGGTTGGGGGGAGAGGTTCGATGTGAATGATAGCCGGTCAGTTCTACAAACCACGAGCTGCCCCTGAGTAATAATAGTAAATAGCATTTGTATCAGCGCATGTCCCCACGCGAAAGCAAGCTCTAAGCGCTTTACACTATATTAGTACACCAAAACTAAACAATGTTATACACTTACCTTTACTCCCTGACTAAAAAAAAAAAAAGGATCAATGCAAACATCATGCCATCTAAAAGTTTAAGATGCGTTCTCATAGAGTGCTTCATTTGACTAAAAATGTAGTTCAACAACCATATTTTATTTGCAAGCAGAGGCGAACGTCAAATGAAGCACAAGGAATGAATCCAAAAATTTGAAAGACCTAAACAGTAGCAAGCAATTAATGAACTCCTCCCAGCTTAGGACAGGGAACCAAGTAGAATGGTAAATGAGAAGCATCAAGTATTTGAATAAACCCAATTTGAAAGTAAGTATTCAACCAAGCATCAACCATTAACATATTTTTCTTTAGGCTATTCGAGGCCAACACAAAAACAATACTGTCACTATTGCGAAAAAAAATGAGTGATCAGATTTAATCCAGTTGTAAAGAGTAAATAAAAACAAAACAGTGCAGCAACCAGAGGTTGTATAATGTGGGCTATAAGGCTATAATACTAGAGTTTGCAGCAGTTTCGACACCACACATGTCAGACATGGGGGCCTAGGCTTCTTACCCTAATCGGCAAGGCCTGCGTGCCCCCATTCACATGAACAATCTCAGCCCCCACCCCACTCCCCACAAGCTCTAATATTAAGCATCACCCTGTCCCCATATTTCAGTGCAAGCTTGTAGATTTCCTCCTAAGACCGCCAAGACGCCTTCACGTGAGTCTTGAAAGGCACTCACTCGTCTGTTGAACTACGCCTATATATATTTATATATTTATATATATATATATATATCTTGCCTTGAGGCTCAGCATCCCACCAGATTGGGCACACGCAGCCCCTGTTCGTTTACACAGGGGACATCACTGCCATGAACTCTAATACGAAATATCCTCTTTGGCAGCAACTCAATAAAATTTGCAAAGCAATGAAATAATCCTTAAATTCACCTTAGGTTCAAAGATTGAAGACTTTGATCTAAATCTTGCAATGCCTGCAGCAAAAAGCGCCATCGGTTGCAACCGACATGACATTGAGGGGACGAGGCAAACCAAGGGTCCAGAACAAAGATAGGGTACAGTTCCGAAGCCTGCTCACAAGCCTTCAGAAGAGCAGGGTTGTCATGGAGACGAAGGCCCTTTCTGAACCAGTGGATAGCTCTGTGTTTTCCCATTTTGCCTGTAAATCTGAGAAAGGTAGCTTATATAATATGAGAGAAAATTTGACAAAATTAAAAAACATACAAATTACTACTAATCAAATACAATCACAATCACAACATTACTAGGGACCAAAAAACATTTTTGGGAATCACAGCTCTCTTAACTCACTGGCTACCAGTGCCGCATATGAGGCCATCATAGTATTGTTTCCGATGACAACCTTTGCCACAGCCCCTGTGGTTTTTCAGTTCAGAGCAGGGTTCCCACTCATCAAGGAGAAAAAATATTCCTGCTGTTTTTTCCTGGTGTCCTCCTAGATTTTGTAATCATTTTTAAAGTGTTTTTTTTTCAAAACGATGACAGAGCTAGGAAGAGGAAATTAACAGAAATTTTTATGCAAGATAAACATCGCAACATGGATATCGACATGAGTACCTTTTCCTGGGGTATCAGTGTCAAGGACAGGAGTTGTTGGATAAGGTATGTAAAGTAAACAAATGCAAGGTGAAAGTGGTCTTGGCAGGCTTACTCTACGGTTGGGGAGCTAGAGGAAAAGAGGAAGGGGGGGGGGGGTTACTTTACGGCAGTTTACGGTCAGTTGGCTCAACTCTTGCAAAAACAAAAGAAACAGACAGTGCGTGTCACAAGCATTTGATCTTAACTGTACATCACTCACTGCATAACAACACACAGTGCAATCTCATGTAGCGATAATTGTTTCAAGTTCAAAATTGATCCTTCTTTGTCTTTGTTGTTTTTTTAATTCTCTAATAGATCTAGATCTAGGCTTTTAGGGCCTAGGGGCAGCAAGAATTTTTTAACACCTTGTCAAACTAATGTCAGCCTACTAGATTCTAGATCTAGATCAGTGGTTTTCAAAGTGGGCGCTACCACCCCCAGGGGGGTGGTGGCGACAGTTTAGGGGGCGCTGTGGCGAAATTGGGCGATTGGGGGGCGGTACTGGGCATTAAGGGGGCGGTGTGAAATTTTCATGAAATGTAACAACATAAAAAATTGTGAAGGGAAAGAAGCCGCATAAAAAACAAAAACAAAAACAAAAATTGATAGCTTATGCATAGTTTACAATGCTACTTATTACTAAGAACTGTCTTTCCCTGCACGCAATCCCATATAAAGAAGATTCATCCCGACAAATCTTACAAAGATCTGGCAAACTTCAAAACTCTAAAAATCAATTTTCAGACATGAAAATCAGTTAAATCGATGTTTGCAGCCGGTGTCGATCAAGCCGAGGAAGGCTTATGAGCAACTTATAATTTATCTCTGCTAATTGCAAAAGCAGGCAAACCATGTACTATCCGTGACGGCCTCATATTGCCTGCAATAAGAGAGGTGGTCAGAACAGTCCTGCACCGTGCCCCGACCCAGTGTTGAAAGTTCTTGCCACTAAGTGGTAATACCGTTCAAAGACATATGGATGGGATGGCAGCTAATTTTCAGGAATCATTGTGCAAAATGCTTAAAGGACGTGAGTTCAGCCTTCAACAGGATATCGGTTCAAAAGGGTGAGGAAATAATGCAAGAATTGTTATTTTCGAAAATGTTGGAAACAGATACCAAAGACGAGTCCATTGTCAAAGTGGTCCAAGAATTCTTTTTTGGAGAAACAGATCCCGCTGACCAATATAGTTGCCTATGCAATAAAAGGGGCGCCGTCGATGACAGGTCGGTACCGCGGTTTTATGAGCTTCTTGGAGAAATCAGTCCCTGGTGGCAAAAAAAACCTGAATGAAAGTCTGCATGACACACTGGCCATTGCCATCAAGTATGTGAACAAGATTAAATTACACGCTTTGAACTCGAGATTATTCCTACAGCTGTGAACTGAAAATGACGAGGACTTTCAATGCTTACTTTTGCACACTGAAGTCCGGTGGCTCTCAAAAGGAAACTGTTTAACACGATTATTGTTCTGCCTGTTTGACTCTGAGTTGGAGGGGTTTTTTTCGTTTTGTTTTTTCAAGAAACAGACAGTGATCTCTCCTTAAACTGAAAGACCACAAGAACAACATTGCGTTCCTCGCAGATCTTTTCACAGATGTTCAACCAGTTCACCTTGCAGCTGCAGGGGGGTAACACCAACCTGATCAAGGAAAAATCCATGCTTTCGTCATTGTAGTCAAATTGGAAATGTTCCACCAAAACATTGGCAGAAGAGAATTTGCTCAGTTTCCTAGCTTGACAGAGACACAGAAAGAAGGGCTGGTTTCTGACGAGGAACTAGAAATATATATACCAGCCACCTCAGAGATTTGCATGCTGATATGAAGACAAGGTTTACTGATATCTTTTAACTGGAAATTCCAGACTGATTACTGGACCCACTCAACACTGGAACAGATGGTGACTTGACAGTGGCTATTGAAGAAGAGCTTCTGAGAATGAAAAGTGACTTTGAAATCAAACAATTGTTCAAGAAGTCGTACCAGTCATTCTGGTTGAAAACTGTTGTGCAAGACAAACCCTCCCTGTGGGAAAAGATCAAATTGTTGTTCATCGCTTTTCCCACCTCCTGTCTAGTAGAAAGGGGATTCTGTGCAGTGACAAGGTTGCTGACAAAGCAGAGGAAAAAAACTCAGGATCACAGAGCGTAGCGATTTGCGTCTGCTACTGACCAATCTGAAACCCAATGTTGATTTGTTGGTTTCGTCTCACCAGGTCCATCCTTCCCATTAGGGCAGTGTCAATGACTTATTTGTATATATATGCTTACTCCGTAGTTTACCCTTACTTGATACTTCAGTGAGTCTTTTCTTTTTTTTTTTTTTTGCTTTTCTTTCTTCTTTTTTAAAAAGCAAAAAATACTCACTTGTTTAATAGAGTTTGTTATGTGCATGTGCTGCCACTGCTGATGAAACTGATGATGGTGATGATGATGATGATTACAATGATGGTGATAATTACAGACAAAGATCCATGCATACTTTTTCTTTCGTGTGGTTTCTCACATTTGTACAACTTAATAATATTTTTATGTTCTGCAAAGGAGATATTTGATATATACAAATCTCAGGCAACTTTATTGCATCACCTTGATGGGAGAAAACGTTTCATAAAGATAATGTCAATCTGTTTTTAAACCAATTATCACTGTTGTGGGGGGTTGTTTTTGGTGTTTTGCTTGAACTGTAAATGTAATAATACATGTTTTACTTTTATTGATGTTAATAGTACTGGTCGTTTAATACCGACGCCAACTTTATGCATAAAATGACAGTATTATGTTCTCAATGCCCTTGCATAACATTGAATAAAAGGTGTTTTATTATCTCTCGTACACACTTAATTTAAGAGTTTGTAATGATTGTGATTTGTGACCAACTAATATTCAAGACCAAATCATTAGAATTTAGGCACGTTATTTTGTGCAGTGCTGTTTGAGCTCTCTCTTTATTAGCGATTGTTATCATATTATGCATGTCATTATGTCAGACTGATGGTTGGGGCGGAGTAGGAGGGCGCTGGAACTCGGCTGGGTGAGAAAGGGGGCGGCGGGCGAAAAAAGTTTGAAAACCACTGATCTAGATCTAGATCTAGATATAGAATCTAGCTCCTGGTCCTGGCTGTTGTTCTAAGGCTAAGGGCAAAGTGGTAGATGTGATTAAACGTAGAAAGACGCAAACTATTTTTAGGTACGGCGCCCATCTTTTTTTACGTCAGAACAGGATACCCCTCCGATCACGTGACTACATCTAAGTATAGCCAACCGCATGGCATCAAAGATGTAAGTGTAAGAAAATTGCTGTACACGCAGAAGGATTAGATCTAGATCTACCCCCCACCCCCCTCTCCTTCATTCTTCATCACTAAAAATACATTTAAAATTTAAAAAACAAACTTCAAAGCAGCTCTACAAAATATAATTTATGGGACTGTTGGTCAGTCGGGAAGAGGAGAAGAGAAAAAAAAAATGGCAGGCACTATTTCTCCGAACGTTCGGGAAAATAAAGCTGGGCACTATTTCTCCGAACGTTCGGGAAAATAAAGCTGGGCACTATTTCTCCGAACGTTCGGGAAAATAAAGCTGGGCACTATTT